CCACCAGTTCCCTAATAGAGGGGGGGAAGGAGCACATTCTTCACCTGCGGGGCTGGAGAGAGCTCAGAGCTGGAGCACAGACTCTGCCTGCAGGAGGTCTGGGCTGAATCCCCAGCACCACCAACCGTCCCCCAAGCACTACCAGGGGTGGTCCCTGAGCACCACCGCGTAAGGTTTCAAAGTCCACAAAATTTTAAAAAATTAGTTAAAAATCCACTCAACTCTTTGTTGTGATAAGGTGATTTCATGCCTTTTGTTTTTAAAAATAAAGAATTTAGATCTCTAGATCAGGAGAAGGAAGGAAGCAAGAAAGGAAGGAAGTAAGGGAGGGAGGAAAGACGAGGGAGGAAAGGAGAGGAGGAAGGCGGGGAGGACAGAAAGAGGGGGGGAGCCCAATTTATAAACAATTTGTGAGTGAATAAAAATCAATGAAACATACATACAGGTGACTCACGGGAATAGTCATCAAGCTGACCTGGGCCAATACTGCCACCTAGTGGCCTGCAGAGGAAGAACCTTCACCTGCTTTCCTTTCTTAAGGGCAAGGAAGCCCTCTGCTCTCTCCTTCCCGTTTGGTTAACAGTTCCATATTTTACTTTTTTTTAAAAAAAAATCTCGCAATACACGGAGCTGGAGTGATAGCACAGCGGGTAGGGCGTTTGCCTTGCACACGGCTGACCTGGGTTCGATCCCTGGTGTCCCATATGGTCCCCCAAGCACCGCCAGGAGTAATTCCTGAGTGCAGAGCCAGGAAGTAACCCCTGAGCATCACTGGGTGTGACCCAAAAAGAAAAAAAAAATCTCGCAATACATAAAAATACCTGTCGCTTCAGGGTAGGCCAACTGCTCAAATAGCCAGAGCACATGCTCTGCGGGTAGGCGGCCCAGGTTCAATGACCAGGAGAATACAGTCCCTGAGAATCCCTGAGCACTGGGGCTGGAGTGATAGCACAGCGGGTAGGGCGTTTGCCTTGCACCTGGTCAACCTGGTGCATCGATTCCCAGCATCCCATATGGTCCCCTAAGCACCGCCAGGAGTGATTCCTGAGTGCAGAGCTGGGAGTAACCCCTGAGCATTGCCAGGTGTGACCCAAAGAGAAAAAAAAAATTTCCTGAGCACTGAGCCACGAGCAGCACCCCCAAGCACTACCAGTTGCAGCCCGACAATCAAAAATCAAACCAAAAATATGTAGTGAATGAACTCAGGAAAGCTCTCTTCCCTAAAAAAAAAAGTTGCTTTAGGGTAACCCTTGAGCTCCACCAAGTGGACCCAAAATACAAAATAATCTTTATTTGTGGGGGGTTCACACCCGAGGATGCACAGGGGTTACTCCTGGCTCTGCTCTCAGGAATTACTCCTGGCAGTGCTCGGGGGACCATATGGGAGGCTGACATTCGAACCCGAGTCAGCCGCGTGCAAGGCAAACACCCTTTCCACTGTACTATCGCTCCAGCCCTACGAAATAATCTTTACATTTAAATTTAGGGGGCAGCCCTGGGGTTCCCATCCCTTGTGTGAGGTTGTGTGGCTGAGGAGCCTCAGCTGTCAACACTCACCCACACTTGGCTGTGACAGTGCACGGCCGGGCTGCCAGGCTCTCACCCTCTACATGGGGCCCGCTACGCACCGGACCTGAAGCTGTGCCCCCTCCATGCCCACCAGGCAGGCACTCCCCCTGGCTCTCCCAAAGCCTCGCCCCTGGGTGTCTACTGATGTGCTGATTTGCTGATTTTGCTTCCGGTGAGCCCTCACAGATGCCTGCTCAGATGGGAAGGGAATCCTGCGCACAGATCCGCAATAAATACTCTGTACTATCTAGACGGATGACTCCGGAAATTAACGGCGCTTCTCCTTAGTACCAATATATCACCTATTTAAGATACAGATTTTGTGGAGCTCTCGCTTACTCCTCTCTGTCACAGAAGGTGGGCTGTGAATCAGGGCGGAGTGAAGCGGGGGCAGGGGGAACGGAGTCCTTAAAAAATCGCGGACGTCTTTGCAGCTTTGACACACCGGACAGTAAAATAAACCACACTTCCCAGCCGCGCTGGGTGCCTCGCACAGGGCAGCCCCCAGTTCTGGTCTGTTTTGGGGCCAGGATTAAAGGGACCTGAAATGCCTAGAGTGAAAACTTTTTACCTCAGAGATCCTACAGGGGTAAGGTGTTTGCCTGACCTGTAGCAGACTCTGGTTCGATCCCCAGCATCCCAGATGGTCCCCCAAGCCCTGCCAGGAGTGATCCCTGAGCACAGAGCCAGGAGGAAGCCCTGAGCACAGCCATATTTGGCACCCAAAACCAACAGCATCTTAAAGGACAAACATCTAGATGAGGAGTTACCATGCACCAAGCACTAGACAAAGGCCGCAACTGTAAGGATGCTTAACAGGGGCTGGAGAGATACCACAGTGAGTAGGGCATTTGTTTCCCTAGCATGCTGTCACCCAGGTTCCATCGGTGGCACCCCAGATGGTCCAGGGGCTGGCCTGGTTGATCCCTGGGCACAGAGCCAAGAGGAAGCCCTTAGCATCACTGGGTATGTGCCCCCCAAACCCAACAACAACAACAAAATGCTCAATAAGTTCCTATGAAGCGATTAAAGTATGATTTAGGAGCAAGAATGAGGTGTGCTTGGAGATGCTGGGGATCAAGCTGGGGTCAACCACCTGCCAGGCAAGAATCTGGAATCTGGACTCTATATATCTGGAGCGATAGCACAGCGGGTAGGGCGTCTGCCTTGCACGCAGCCAACATGGCCGACCCGAGTTCGATTCCTCCGCCCCTCTCGGAGAGCCCGGCAAGCTACCGAGAGTATTCGATATGCCAGACACAGTAACAACAAAGTCTCCAATGGAGACGTTCCTGGGCCCGCTCGAGCAAATCGACGATCAACGGGAGGGCCTTTACTTACTTTACTTTACTCTTTCTAGTCTGAAAGTGAGACTTTTGCCCCCCACCCCCACCCACCCCCACGCCCCCACCAAGTCCAGGCAAAATTTTAGACTGCTTCATCATCTTGAAAACTTGCTAACATACAGATCTGGGAGCATTACACAGAGATTATGATCTAGTGAGATACTGGGAAACTGCAATGTTAGGTGGGGAGGGCTCCATCCCTGCTCGGGAGGCCCGGGGGAGGCCATCCAGCGATTCTTGGCCAACTGGGCCAGGGGTCAATGCCAAGGCCCAAGGAGGTGGCACTGCTCAGGCCCTGCCGTGCTGGGGATTACCACCATCTTCCTGACATGGCTGGGGGCCTCCAGAGCCACACCCGGCAATGCTCGGGGGTCCCTGTGAACCCAAGTCGGACACATGCCCAGGGTGCACCCTAATCGCGGTATTCTCTCTTGGCCATGCAAGAAACTGCACTTTAAAACTTCATGTTCGAACTTACAGAAAAGTTGCACCCCCCGCTTTTGTCAACTCCAGTTGGCCCGCATTCAACTGTGAACATTTTGCCACTTAATCTCCTCTCTCTCCCACACCCGCTCTTCCTCCAATCCCAAAACACACGCTTTATGCCCTTTTTTTTTTTTGCCCACTGGGGACTTGAGAAAAAAAAAGTTGTTAAGTTATGCTCCTTTCTTTGCCGCTAAATATTTTTGCAAGTCTTCCCCTTATCACCTCCACGATGCAGTTACTACACGAAGGAAGTTTAATAGGAACGGAAGTATTTAACATACAGTTAGCATTATAGTGTTATTAGAACTCAGTCCTCTACTAACTTCCTCTCTGGTTGGGGAGTTCCCTTTCCTTTCCCTTTTACTTTCCAATAAAACCTTTCTGTTTCCAAGAAAAATAAAATTTAAAACTTTACGAGCTGCTCTGAGTGTCCTGGCGTGTGTGTGCGTTCAAATGCGGGCTAGAGGTGGACATTTGGGGGATCTCATTCCTGCAAAGCAAGCTCTCTACTTCTCAGCCTTTTGGCCTTGATTTCTCTCCTCTTGCGTCAGGATGCAAACTTGCTTGTCCCTGTCACAGGTCCATTCTCAGTAAGTGGCCCCCCACTGAAAACTCAAACAGAGTTCTGATTTGCTCCTTTCAATGTGGACCCCCAGGTCCTCAGCCAGAGGTGGGGTGAGGTGGTACCTACGTGGGCTCCTTCTGTTCTTACTTGATGGCACCTCCCCAGTTCCAAAGGGTGAGACAGCCCCGCGGTACAGAACAAACGCTCTTTGGAAACTGTGGTGGGGGCCACGCCCAGCCGTGCCAGGGATGGGAGGCCAGGGCGGGTGGCTCTTATCCACCACTAGAGCCGCCTCCCTGGCCCTAGGAGGCCGTTCTTCAGACACAGAGGGAACCAATTCTGCCAGGTCTGTCTCAGGACCCAGCCTCACACTGTTGTCGTAACCAAGAAGCAGCCGCAGGAAAACAACTGTTCAGAAAGGGCTCTGGCGAGTCACGGGATGTAACCAGATGTCTCGACTTGTTCCCTGAAGATCAGCTCCTCTCTGGAACCTGAATCTTCACAAGCCACGAAAAGACAAGTTACAGGAAAGACCCCGGTGCCTTCCAGAGTGCAGCTCTCAGAAGAGGGGTGAGCTGCCCGCCACCCACCACCGGCCCCAGCTGCTGTCAGGAGCAGCAGCGAGGCCGGGTGTTTGTTCAGTGAGGCTTGGCGAATGTTCCGGTGGAACTCAGTCCAGCTCATTCAAACTGGGGAGTTTTAGCTTTCCTTTGCAAAAGCCCCACGCTGCCTCACAAAACACTTTCAGGGCCGGAGAGATAGTAAAGCAGGTAGGGCATTTGCCTTACACGCTGCCAACCTGGATTCAATCCCCAGCATCCCATATGGTCCAGCCATATGGTCCCCCGCCAAGCACCGCCGAAGTGCAGAGCCAGAAGTCACTCCTGGGCATCGCTGGGTGTGACCCAAGAAGCCTGAGTGCCGAGCCAGAAGTAACCCCTGAGCATCACTGGGTGTGACCTAAAAAGCCAAAAATAAAAACAAAAATAGCACTCCCAGGGATAACACTCTGTTCATTTTATTTTTTTATTTTTCAGGGTGCTGGGACCAACAATCACCAGCGGCCTAACTGCCGAAACGCTTCCAAAATCTCTTGATGTTGATCCTGCATGGGAGAAAGTCCTCTGTGTGCCACTCACAGCAGAAGTGCCCCCCCCCTTTTTTTTTAAGTTCCTTTTCTGTGCAGCTAATGACAAAATTTCCCTACGCCTGACATCTGCAAGCATCTTCCCTCCTGGCTCTCATTTTCATGGGCTCACCCGCCTGACCTTCTGCCAGTTTCCCCTCACTGACTTGACTTTCCTAAATTTCCCAAGCACAACACGGCAAAATACAAATTTATACTAACTTATTTTAAAAGCTGGCTGTGAAGCTTCTACTATTACTGCTTACTAAAGTTAAGAAAACATGCAGTCACAAGGGGAGAGACATTTTCAATAGCTGATTCACCAGGAAGGACAACAAGCTTGTTTGCCCTGTTACCTGCACAACAAGAAAATTTTTAAATGACCTCTTCAAAATTTAAAAGCCCGCTAATGAATAGAAGAATCATTCCAGCTGGCAGGAGACTTATTCATTGATTTTTTTGTCCCAGGACCATACCTGGAGGTACTCAGGGGCTACTCCTGGCTCTGGGCTCAGGGATCATTCTGGGCGGGGCTCAGGGGGCTACATGGAGTACCGGAAGTCAAACCTAGAGGAGCCATATGCAAGCCAAGTGCTTTACCCACTGTACTACCTTTTGGGCCCACACAGGACTTTTAATTTAGACATGCAGTAGAATAAGGAATGTATAAGGAATTACTCCTGGCAGTGCTCGGGGGAACCACATGGGACACTGGGAATCGAACCTGGGTCGGCCACGTGCAAGGCAAACACCCTACCCGCTATGCTATCGCTCCAGCCCCCAGACTACTTTTTTTTTTTAAAGGGTGAGGGTGAGCGCAAGGGCTACAGCAAGGGCAGAGGGGCAGCTCGATGCATGCCCTGACATGAGCAAGACTGTGGATCAACTTGTACCATAAGGTCCAAGAACGTAAAGCTGGGAAGAGCCCCCGAGTTCAGCTGCCTATGGCCAAAAACCAAAGTTGCCTCCTACGACGCACTGATGAAAGATGTGGGAAGCTGGCCCTCCGCAGAAAGATGTTTAAGTCTCAAGCCTCCCATCCGAGAAGGTGGATGGGAAATGGGTGCGGGGCAGACCGGGGTGCTTCGGTGGTTGGACAGGAGTGATACAGCTGCATATCCAAACCAGAGTCAACCCCGCTGAAGACATGAGATCCAAACTACAACAACCAAATGCGAAAACACGCCTGTCAAGGCTGCGGGGTAGAACTTGGGACACTGATGACAGGAAGGGGACATGGGCAGGGCGGGGGGGAAACTGGTGCCTAGTCCATTATATGTCCAGAACTCAACTACAAATACCTTTGCAAATCATGATGATTCAATAAAGTTAAAAATTATAATAAGGGGACTGGAGCGATAGTACAGAGGCGGGGAGGGCACTTGCCTTGCACACAGCTCACTGGGGTTCGATTCCCCGGAATCCCATATCATCCCCCAGCACCGTCAGGAGTCATTCCTGAGTTCAGAGTCAGGAGGAACCCCTGAGCATCACCGGATGTGACCCAAGAAGCAAAAAGTAAAATAGAATAAAATAAAAATTATCATTAAAAAAAAAAAACACAAGACTTACATCCTCCAGGATGGGAGAAAACACTCAAGCCGCTCCCTTGGGAGGGTCCTCTGGCATTATGCGACCTGACTCCCACAGGGACACCGACAGAGAAGGGGCAAAGCTCTGGTCCTGCCAAAGCGAGAGTTTGTGGAAGAACCCCTGGGCCTTGCCTCGGAGGATTAGTTGTATTCAAACTGAGACCCGTTGTCATGCGTGCCCTTGGTCACAGACAACTTCAAAATGCCAAATAGTTTTCTTATTATGGAGTCGGGGTTTATTTATAGGCGCGACACCATGACACTCGCAAAACTAACAAAATAAAAAAGTCATACTTGATACCGAGAGGTACCGGGGCCATCGTGGTAAGCTCCCTGAAGGGCACCTGAAGAGCACCAGGGCCGCGGCCCCAAGCCGAGTGGTGAGCGCCGTAATGTTGCTATAAGGGGAAGCCGGGGGTGCTCGTGGAGCAGCACGGGGTTCTCAGGCGGATCACCTGAGTGGGGATGAGAACTTCCACCCCCAAGTCAGCTCCTGGGCCGTCTGGAGGCACCTGAGACTTATTAATGGATCAAAAAGCCTTTTCTATAGACGGAACATGATTGCCACTCAGTGCCTCTCTTGCAAACCTCAGCACCCAAAAGGAAAGAGAGAATAAAAGGGAATGCCCTGCCACAAAGGCAGGGTGGGATGGGGGAGATGGGGGGTAGGAGGGATACTGGGATCCGTGGTGGTGGAGAATGGGCACTGGTAGAGGGATCGGTACTCGATCATTGCATAACTGAAACCAAGCACAAAAATCTGTAAGTCTACAACTGTATCTCATGGTGTTTCACTAATAAAAATTAAAAAAATAAACAAAAACCTTTTCTGGCCCCCTTTGCCTTGAAGCAGCATAGGGGCTGAGGGGAGGGTACAAACCCCAAACACACAGGTCCTCATCCAAGCCCCTCTACCCCTCTGCCCTGCAACCACCCTCCTAACCGGCTCTGCATCATTTTTTTCCAGGATATTTGTAGTCTGGGGTTGGGTGGTCAATTTCTCAGTCTCTAAGAAAAGGTGATCAGTTATCTGATGCTGAAAGACACCCCCCTATGCCTCAAATCTCCCAGGCCAGCCCTCCTGGAGTGCTTTCTCAGAGAGGTGTGGAGGGGGAGGGTTGCTTCATGCAGCAGGATCTGGGGGCTGTAGCAGAGCACGGGCCGTGCTAATGAACGGTGAAAGGGGGCAGGTACACGTTAACTATGAGGGACCGCAAGAGCGAAGCCAGGAGCAAATGGTGAGCGCCTGCGTGCCCATCTCAGGAGGGGACCGGACTACAGCTGGCTGCAGGAAATGACTTCTAGGATCAGACAGACAAGCAGTGGCCAAAGCTTCCGAGGGGGCCAGGCGTCACAGACCCATCCGTCTGGATTAGAATGACAGCGAGCCTTTGTGATTGCTCCTGCCCAGAGTTCCGGACCATTTACTCATTCAATATTCATGCACTCTGCCCCAGGGAGGGCTGGGGAGGGCAGAGGGGTCTGGGGTTTCCTAGTCCATGGGAAGAGGGAGAACCCCAGGATGGGGCAGTTCCAGCTGGGGGCAGGGGAGGGTCCCGCCAGGTTTCGTATCTTTGGGGCAAGAGGACACAGGCTGGCAGGTGGAAGCCAGGCAAGGACCAGGACGATTTGGGCGAGGGGGGCCTGGAACCAGTGGGAATAACTGCCTGAGGAACAACCCAAGGGTAAGATTAGGGTGTTCAAGAGCCCCAGGGGCCATGCCACAGGGAAGAGGAATGAAGGGCGGACAGCTACTGCAGGAAGGGAGAGTCGGGATGTGGCCTGGAACCCGGATGAGCCATTGGTTTGCTGCATCCCAAGTCCCCAAACTTATCAAAGGCTTCATCCTCTGCTCTCCAAGATAACGTGCGCATGGACCAGCACCTCGCAGGGCCCAACCAAGTAACAGCCCAACTTCGTATCACTGATTTGTTTCCTGAGACCCCCAGCTTCAAAAGGTGGTAGGAGAGTGAGCTCTGGAGACGATCAAACAAGAGAAGTTGGACAAGACCCCCGCGGGGGGGGGGGGGGGGAGACTGTACAGCCGGAAGGGTACTACTAACCTTGCGTGTGGCTGACCTGGCTTCATTCCCGGCATCCCATAAGGCCCCCCAAGTCCTGTTACGAGTACGGAACCCTGAGTGCTGAACCAGGAGTAAAGCCCTGAGCATCACCAGGTGTGCCCCCCACAGTGAGTTCATATAGCAGACAAAATGAGTTCAATGCACGGCAGCATTGTTCGAAGTAGCAGGGGTGCCGGAGTTATAGTAGGGAGGAGAAGGCGAACATTTGCCCTGCACGCAGCCAACCCGAGTTCAATCCCCGGCATCCCCTATGGTCCCCCAAGCACTGCCAGGAGTAATTCCTGAGTGCAGAGCCAGGAGGAACCCTTGAGCATCACTGAGTGTGACCCAGAAAGGGAAAAAAAAAAGGGCAAAGTAGCAGAGGAAAGCCAGCCCAGGGGAGGCACTTGCCTTACACTTGGCTGCAACGACCACAACCATGGGCTGCATCTCTGATACCACACGCGGTCTCCTGAGCACCGCCAGGGGTCACTCCTGAGCAGAGAGCCAGGAATAACCCCTGAGCACTGCCAGGTGTGGCCCCCAAACAAAACTAAACCAACAAAGCAAAAAAAAAAAAAAAATCATAGGAGTTTGTAATACATCTCATCTCAAGAGCAAAGAGCACTAAAGGGTTAACTACTTCATTTCTGGAAGAAAATCAAACAGGCCACAAACCATGAGAGAGGAGATGAAGACTAAGAAGCGGGGTGTCGGGGGTGGGCAGGAAGAAAGGGGGACGGTAACATTCAAAGTAACACTCAAAATACAGACAATGGAATATGGTGGGCTTTGAGCTCTTTCCATCTAAAATTCAGCTAACAAGCACCGCTCTTTCGTCCTCCCCAGTTGTTCCACTAGTCTCCAAGCAGAAAGAGAAAACAGGATGGAATAAATTTACTCTACAGGGACATGAATCAAGTTGCATAAACTTGACCAAAACACTGTGCTAATATTTGCCCCTGCGGCTCAGACACACCCACGCGGGTGTCGGGCCAGGATATTTCTACCTCAGCTTCCAGCCCCCACCCCTCTACAGCCAAAAGCAGCAAAAGCCCTCGGAAAAGAAAACAGCTAAAGTCACTTTGAAAGCTTTGAGATGTGCTAATCGCAGCGCATCCCAGCCAGGAGGCTGGAATCTCACAGCCCCGCCAGCCCTGGCTGGCTCAGGAGTCGACCTGGCCAGCGCGGCCGGCCGGGCCAGAGAAACCCAATCCTCACCTCCACATCCCGCAGCACCGTGCTTTTATCTCAAGGAAACGCAGAAAAAATAGCCTCCAGGGCCCCCAGCACCACCTTCTCGTTACTAATCAGTCAAGTGACCTGAAACACAAGCCTCCCTTTTTTTTTTCTCAGCTCTATTTCCCAGCTACCTTCTCCCC